AACATGTTTCTGAAAATGACTTATTCTAAGTTCTGTAACATGGTGCCTACAAGCTAGCTGGAGAATGTATTTATCTAAATCATGAATAATTCTATTAACGGCCCCTTTCATAATGCCAGTACTTGTTGCTGTTGTGTCTAAGCACAATCCACCAATATTTGATTTATAAATAGTGCATCCAATACCGGTAGTATCGATACCGGAATACCGGTATTACCAGACTTTTTCAAGTACCGAAATACCGGCATTGGGTTAGTCTAATACCGGTATTAAACTTCCAGGCGCAATTAGCAACGTTCGTTCGGCTTGTAATAAAAGTATGAAATCACGCTCGCTCAAGCGTTTGGGAGGAAGAAAGTGATAAGTTGATTTTTTATCTAAAATTATTGATAAAAATTTTAATTAAAGATAAAACTTGTTTAATTTAAAATTAAAGTTATGTCTTCTATTAAAAAAGATTTTATTATATATTATTTTTATTATATATTATTTTATTATATATTAGCATTATGTCACTCGCTGAGCATGTGTTTGTGTTTTGCACTAACACAATGAATGAAAAGTTTGAAGTCATTACCGCTGATTTCTATAATGAAAATTCCATTATAGAAATCGGCGGTTATTCCATTCCATTCCAGGAATGTTTACTATTTTAACCATGCGCACGTGGATATGCTATGTGAATAGGAAATATGAAAAACTAATGCAAACTCAATGCAAATAGAAAATTACTATAAAAAAATTGAAACTTCAGATTATTTTTATTAAAAAAAAAATTGTGCATTTTTAATTAAGAACTAATAATCAATACTTTATGTCTGATGAATTCATTTACTTTAAAGTCCTGAAACACATCAAATGTTCCAAAAGGTATTCAAAGAGTTCAGTACTGGCGTACGAGTTGACGAAAATTCTGTGTGGTTTTATTTTCTACGTGATAAAGAAAATCAACTTGCAAAGTGTAAAAAATGCAGCAAAGAGATAAAATCAAATGATGGCAGTACCAGTGGACTGCATACACATCTAAGAACTAACCATAAAATTGACTTACTGAAGAGAAAATTGGTCCAAGATCCAGCATCGACATTGGTTTCATTTTCATTGGCACCGTTGCCAACGGCCAAAAAATCCAAACCTTAGATCACCGACTTTTTACAAAATCAACATGATAGTTCCTTGCCTGCAGTTTTTTCTAGATTGACTGCCCTTTATATAGATTGACTACCTTTTAGCATATTTGTCACGTCAGCAGAGCTGAAAACATTGCTACAAGCTCGTGGGTTTGTTGTTCCAAAATCGGCAACGACAATTTGCAATATGGTAGTAAAATACGCAGACACAATCAAAGAAACTGTAATATCTAAGTTTAATAACCTCCGATTACAAGGGATGCGATTCAGTTTGACATTTGACGAATGGACATCAATTAAAAATTGCAGATATTTAAATGTAAACGTTAACACCGAGGACAAATTTTGGAGCCTTGGATTAGCTAGAGTTGTTGGTTCACTGCCTGCAGAAAAATGCATTGATTTAGTTCAAAAAGTGTTGACAGTTTATGCTGAGCTATGATGAAGACATTGTGTGTATTACTACTGATAGAGCTTCCATAATGCAGAAAGTGGGGCGCTTGAGTAATTGTGAACAACAGTTGTGCATCGTGCATGGCATTCAACTGAGTGTTCAAGAAGTTTTGTACAAAATACTGTCAGCTTGTGCAAAAAGAGCTTGAAAGTTATCTGCAATTACAACAATATCAGTGAAAGTGATGAGGATATTAGCACTGACGATGACACAAACAAAACCAATGACGATGAAGAAGAATTTTCCGGCAGATTTCAAGTTGTAATGAGTGAAAAAGATGACCCTATTGAACTGACTGATGATCAGCCGTTAATCACTAAGGTGCGCACAATTGTGAAATTGTTTTGCCATTCTCCGACAAAAAATGATCAAACACTTCAAAAATACACAGTAGAGGAATTTGGTAAAGGCCTTCCATTGATACTTGACTCCAAAACTCGCTGGAGTAGCTTACACACAATGCTCGAACGTTTTGTGAAATTGAAAAACTGCATTCGCAAGTCGCTGATTGACCTTGAATCCAAAAATTGAAATAACTTATAAGGAGTTCAATTCAATTTTAGGTGTTGTTTCATGTCTTGCGCTAGTAAAATTGGCTGTGGAAGCATTGTGTCTAAATGATGCAACACTGTTATCACTCAATACAACACTAATGTTTATGATAAATAACATTGGAGACACAGATTTAGCTGTTAAGTTAAAAGCTACTTTAGTGCGACGAATCAATGAGCGACGTACAACTTTTTCCAGCCTACTGCACTATCTGCACAAAGGCCATCAACATTACGAAAATTTGGATCCAGTGCTATCTTTCAGACACCTTAGAAAATCAGCCATTGTAAATACATTGCTCGACTGAATGATCGGCTCAGTCAGCGAGCTTATAATCCACCAGTATATTTTCTGATAGCGATTCACTGCAAACTTGTCATTAAAAGAAAAGCTTGACATTTTTGAATAATAAGAAATGTAACAATAAGGAAAGATTAAACGTTTCGAATAACTTATCAAAAACCATATGCAATGAGATGGTAGTTTTCGAAGATGGAGGAACTCGCGGTGTATATTTGCAAAATTCATACGAATACTTGAAAACTGTAAAGCCAACAAGTGTTGAATCGGAGCGTGGATTTTCAGCAAATGGCAACATTGTCACAAAATTACGATCATCTCTTGAAGATGATACTCTGAATGCCCTATGTTTCTTATGGGCATACTTTACAAAGGAGAAAAAAGTGAAAAATGAAAAATTGTAATTTTAATATAAAATAAAATAGCATAGCATCAAAGAAGTTTTACTATTTATTTGAGATTTTATTCATATTATGATTAATTAAAATAATACTGGTATTATACCAGTATTACCGGTATTGAAATAATTCAGTACCGAAATACCGGTATTAAAAAATGTTATCGGTATTGGATGCACAATTTTAACCATATTCATCTAGCAACTGTATTATTCCTTTATATTGATCATCTCCTGAAGAGGATGGTAAAGAAGGCACACCCAACAAGTGTGATTTGCCATTAATATTTACTAGTACAGCTAGTCGCCTGCATTTTAGTTTCTTTCCTTTAATTGTCTCAAATATAGTTTTTCCATCAAAATGAATTATACATGGGAATGTAGATAAACAAACTTGCGTTTTAATATCTTCTTTAGCAATATTTGAAATTTCTTTATTTTCTCTTTTCATTCTTCTAACTGCAGTTGAGAGATTTGATTTGATGGTGTTCATGTCTACTCTTGCAGCTTGAACAACCACTGTTGTAATTTTCTGCAGAACCATAGGAGAGATGTTATTAACAGTTGCTAATAAGCAACATTTCTGGAATAAATATCTCTAAGAATGTTAGCCCGAATTTTTGTACTGCTTGGTTTATTTTTTCTTTTTATCCATTCGCCTGGCTTGAAGGAAGAATCAGAAAAGTTATCTGAATCTAGTTTGTCATTACTGCTAATGTCTTCTTCGTGAAATTTTAAAATTCTACTCCAGGATCCATTTTTCATTGCATTATTGCATTTCTTTTTATTTAATGATTTTACCTTACATAAAAATAAATTTATTAGTTATAAGTTGTTAGAGTGACAAAAGCATAAATTTAACCAACTATAAAGAGTATATTATTTAAAAACATTTAGTTTTTAAATTTCCAGTTATTAGCGACATAAATATTAGAATAAGTTTAAAAAATCTTGAGCAAAAATATTCTAATTTATTAAAGAATTTCAAAAGAAACTCAAAACAAGATATTAAAAATCAAATAGGATTTGAAAATTTTGTTAAACGTATTTTTTGGATAAGAATTCCAGAACTAAAAGATTTTATTAAAGTGATAAACTAAAATCTAATGAATCTAAAATCGAAGATTTACATTTCTTAGAAGATCAAGAAGGTCCAAGATTATCATTTGGGTCCTCTAGACTAAATATACTGATTAAATTATGTTCTCAAGGTAGATGAACAATTTAGTTACTTTACTATATGGAGTGAAACAGTATAAAAAATATTGATTTAACTAACTTTATTTTGTTTTTGGACTTACACTATGTTGATTCTCATCCACACAAATGTGTACACTATGTTGATTCTCATCCACACAAATGTGTGGATGAGAATCAACATAGTGTAAGTCCAAAAACAAAATAAAGTTAGTTAAATCAATATTTTTTATACTGTTTCACTCCATATAGTAAAGTAACTAAATTGTTCATCTACCTTGAGAACATAATTTAATCAGTATATTTAGTCTAGAGGACCCAAATGATAATCTTGGACCTTCTTGATCTTCTAAGAAATGTAAATCTTCGATTTTAGATTCATTAGATTTTAGTTTATCACTTTAATAAAATCTTTTAGTTCTGGAATTCTTATCCAAAAAATACGTTTAACAAAATTTTCAAATCCTATTTGATTTTTAATATCTTGTTTTGAGTTTCTTTTGAAATTCTTTAATAAATTAGAATATTTTTGCTCAAGATTTTTTAAACTTATTCTAATATTTATGTCGCTAATAACTGGAAACCATTTAATCCATGGATGTAATTAGTGCCTAGAGAACCCAAATGAAATAATCTTAGAACTTCTTGATCTTTAAAGAGTTGTAAATCTTCGATTTTAGATTAATTGGATATATATATATATATATATATATATATATATATATATATATATATATATATATATATATATATATTGTGTGTGTGTGTGTGTGTGTGTGTGTGTGTGTGTGTGTGTGTGTGTGTGTGTGTGTGTGTGTGTGTGTATATATATATATATATGTATATATATATATATATATATATATATATATATATATATATATATATATATATATATATATATATATATATATATATATATATATATATATATATATATATATATATATATATATATATGTTTTTATAGTCAAAGCTTTTTCAACATGGTCTGAATGACATTCTCAAAGTTGAAGCAGAACTAGTTACAATACAAAATCATATCAAAAATAATACAGACAAAAAGAAGTTTGTATGTTTTATATTTCTGTTTAAAATGTTAAATACGCTGAATGAGTTATGTTTATAACACATATTTTTATAACTAAATTTCAAATAGTATTTTTTTTTGATTTTTGATTTAAATAAATTATGAAGTTATTAAATGTAAAATTGCAAAATTAATTTAAATTTAATGTAATTGAATATAATTTTGTGCCATTTTTTTTTTTTTTTTCTTTTTTTTTGTTTATTATAAATATGCAAACCTTTTAATTAATATACACAAATACAATAGTCAAGAGAGAATTTTGATTGGATTCAGAGAATTTTGATTGGATGAAAAATTAACTTTTGTGTTTTACTCTTTTTAAAATTTTGTAAGTGAAAGTAGGGGACATGGTTTATTAATAAACTGTAAGATAATAATGTATAAGATAATAAGATGTCTAAGGAACAAAGTTTTCATAAAAACTGTTATTATATTTAGTTTATAATGAAGAATAAAAAATATTATTTCTAGTATATAAACACATAGTGTAATAAAATACAGAATACATATAGCAAACTAAATTTTCATATATGTAATAAATTACAGAATACATATAGCAAGCTAAAATTTCATTATAATCACATTTCTTTAAAATATTAGAGTATAAGTGGGTCAAACCAATCACCGAACAATAAAAATCAAGTAACTTTATTATTTTTAAAAATTTTTAAACTATTTTTTTTTAAATAAGATAGAAAATACCAACAAGCCCATTATTGATTTATTTTTTATTTAATTGTATTTGAAAATATGAAAACTAGAAGAAAAAAAGATTGCTTTTGGCAGAAAGTCTGTTATAACCGATCATTAAAAATACATTTAATAAGTTTAACATTTTATATATGTAAATGTATATATTTTTATATATTTTTTATATAGCATACAGAAATAATAAAAGATTTAAGGTTTACATTTTTTACAACAAAAAAGTCTGAACCCATCACAAAATTTTTTGGCAAACATGTTTTGCTGCAGAGCCAAGTATTGCAATTTGGATTCTTGCATGACATCATGTCCGAATGTAATTCTTTTTAACACTTTCTGCAATTAATAACTTTTCTTCTTTTGACTTAAGGTGTTGTAATCCGTTCTATATTTTGAGTTACTTCTTTTTCTGCAGGGTTTGGTAATGGCATTGTGAGTTTGCAGATGGTTTTACGCTTTTTAGCTAATTTGAGTTGCTTAACTTCTCTTTTTTTGAGATGATCTGCAACACTGTGTTCTGTAATACATTGGCTAGCAGTTTTCGGAATATTAGGTTGCCTCGATTTTTTTACAGGAGACTGATTTTTTTCTGGAAAAAACTCTATAGCTCATTTTCCATTTTGATTTTCATTCTCTCATGTAGTGCTCTGTGGTTGTCAAACCTCGAAACTACTGTTGCTGGTTCAGAAGATAATGCTAAAGACTTTGTTGTTCGCAATGGCGTTGAAGATGTCGGTTGATTAGTATTAGTCATAGTATTTCCAGAATACTAATTTAAACTCTAATATGCTATATTATCTATTAAAAGTTCTTAAATTGTGTGAGCTAATCTAACTATCAAATTGCTTGTTTGTTAGGAACCAATGCCATAAAGGTGAGTTTCCACTCATCCGTTTTTTCACTGGAACAGGATAGGAAAGGGAAAAATAATCACGTGAGCATGCGTAGTTTTCCTTCAGACATATTAAAACTTTTTTTTACGCATGCCCACGTGATTATTTTTTCTGTCCCTTTCCCGTTCCCGTGAAAAAACGGATGAGTGGAAACTCGCCTTAATAATTTGCCTCTTACATTTTCAAACTTTTTCAATTATAAAGAAAATTTCAAATATATCTTACGATCTTCTAGCAAATTCAAGTTATCTGTACCTAAATATCATATTATGGCTATGAATCCATAAAGCATAAAAGCATAAAAACTTGGAACACCCTCCCCTCCCAACTAAAATCTATTAAATCATTAACCAAATTTAAAACTGGTCTCTTTAACTATTTGTCAGAAAAATACTGTTTATAAATCTTGTACTTTTTTTTATTTTGTTAATTCTGAGCTTCTATATATCAAATATTGTTCTCTTTTTGATTGTGTTTAAATATATATTATTAATGTGTGCATATTTGTGTGCATACATGTATGTGTATATATATATGTGTGTATATGTGTATATGTGTGTATGTTTGTATGTGTATGTGTAAGTATGTATATGTGCGTATATATATATATATATATATATATATATATATATATATATATATATATATATATATATATATATATATATATATATATATATATATAGTTATGTGTATATGTATGTGTGTATAATTAGGTATATATGTATGTGTTTGTATATATATATATATATATATATATATATATATATATATATATATATATATATATATATATATATATATATACATATATATATATATATATATATATTCATAATTATATGTATGTGTGTTTATGTGTATATATAAATGTGTATGTGCATATGTGTGTATATGTATATATGTGTGTATATGTGTATACGTGTATATGTATGTATATTTGTATGTATGTATATGTGGGTGTGGGTATATATGTATGTATGTGTATGTGTATATATATGTGTGTGTGTATGTATGTGTGTATGTATATATGTATGTGTGTATGTATATGTATTAGTGATGTACCGATTAATCGGTATCGATATCGGCTTAATCGGCCATTTTTTGCACAATCGGAATCGGCATCGGCCTTTTTTTACCGATTTTCCAACCGATGGCATTTTAATATTTTTATCCTGCATTATTATAATAATTAAATAATAAATAAATTAAACTTTGTGCAATACTTGGATAAATTTTTATTTTTATTTTGTTTGCAAGCAAAAGCTTTAAAAGTAACCTGTTTAAGCATTGTTATCTATATATTTTTAATTATTTTTTACTCCCAATAAGGCTTCATGCAACCATTATCAAAATGGGAGTTGCTAGAAAAAAAGTGTAGAGTTATAGAGCAATGAAGTGGTTGACAGAAGACTTAAAAAGTTGAAGGTTGTATGAGTTAGGAAAACATGTAGATGGGACAATAAAAGACAAATAAAAGTTTTTGGAGCTTGAAGAGACAGATACAGTCAAAGAATGAGACTTTGATGAATGACAAGTCAAGTGAGAATGAGTTTTGATGGAACTAAAGATGAAAGCTCCTTTGAGCAGCAAGCATGATAGTATTTGTAGAAAAGAAAAAGACTTGCAACTTTACGATAATGGGAAAGAGGCTCAAGCTTTGCAGATAGACCAGGTCCAACTCTGTTTACAATGCGTTTTTAAACCATATCTTGAAGAAAAAGAGCATCATTAGAAGAACCAGCTCAAATATGATAACAGTATTCCATACAGGGACAAATAAGAGATTTGTAGAGGTAGGGAATGGAATCAGGAGAAAGAAAATGGTGAGCACAATAAAAAGAAGCAACCTTAGCAGATGCTAATTTAGCAATCGATTGTATATATTGTTTCCTTGAAAAGTCAGTAGTAAATGATAATTCAAGAAGATGTAAAGAAGTAGAATCAGTGAGAGGGTTGCCATTCATCAATAGACAGTACTACAATAGTTATTTGTCTGACAACAAGTTATTTGACTCGAGATGGAATGTGAGAAATTTGTTTATCAAAGACTCAAAGACCTTGCTAATAACAGAAAGAAGACTGATTTGACAATAATCGGAGGAGTCAATAAGTTTACCTAAGTGTTTAAAAATTAAAACAACAGATGCCATTTTCCAGCAGGGAGGAAAACAAGATTCAGTCAAGCACTTATTAAATAGTTTAGAGAAAATTGAAGAGAATTCTGGAGAACAATTTTGTTAGACTGTGACAGGAATGTTGTCTGGACCACAAGCCATAGAAGAGTTATAGACTATGACTATGAACAATGGAAGATATGACTATGAGCAATGGAAGCTGAAATCGTTTGAATGTGTAACAATGGGTTAACTTGTTTAATTAGAATGGAAGGAAGAGAATGGCCATAAGATTCAAGAATCGGATTAGAAGAGAATTTCTTTGCAAATAGTTCAGCCTTATTTCATGTATTTAAGTATAGCCAAGTACCAAGTATATTTCTAAATTTTTAATTTTTTTATTTCAATTTACCTCTCTAAGGCCACAAAGACCACTTCAATTGAGAAGAATACTTTAGTTATGGTTACAACCCTCTTTCAACTTTATAACTCAGAAACACAAACCTTGATGAACAATGCCTCTGTGTGTAGAAACAAGTTAAGCACTGTACTACCAGGGACGTGGTAGGGATCCAACATCACAAATTAAAATAATTCTAAAAACAATTTATTTATCTAAAAATAATTTATGTCTAAACAGCACATGATTGTTGTTTAGATATCTAAATTGCTAATAAATTGATAAAGAATTTTAAGTGCATATGCATATTTTCGTTTTTTAAATTGAAATCAAAAGCGTTCCTCTATAATTGTATTTATTTTTTTGAATTTAATTTAATTGTATTTAAGTTTTCTTTTCAAAGTAGAAAAAAAATAAAAATGTATATTTTTTAACTGAGTTTTTCTAATATCTTATAAAATAATTGTTTGGCTTTGATTTGAGTCCAAGTATTTGTTTAACAGTACCAATTTAAAGTTTAATGGTTTTATATTTTCCTATTTTTAATATATATAAATGATCTACCAAAAGCTTCTAACCTAATGACAATTGTGTTTGCTGATGATTCTAACCAATTTTTTTCTCATATTAACATTATTACACTTTTTAGCAATATGAACATTGAACTAGTCCAAATGGTTTAGATTAAACAAACTCTCACTAAATATTGATAAAACTAAATGGATTCTTTTTCATCCTTATGGTAAAAAGCACCAGCTGCCTAGCAACTTGCCTTTTCTATTTATCGATATCATAGTTACTAATAGAGTTTTAGTGACAAGATTTTTAGGTGTATATATCGATGAAAATCTTACATGAAATGCCACA